TCAAGTATATTTATTTAATTAAGAAAGTTCTTGTAAGCTTTTTCATATATAAAAGCTTTATTTTATTTTAATATATACTCTTTGTCTGTCTAACAGTTGAAAAGATACTGTTAGAGGGTTTAGTCAGCACACTAAATCTTTTGTTTTATTTATAGTATTTGTTATTTTAGTTTTTGGTATCTACTCTTAGTTTAGTTTTCATGATCACAATTTCATTTTTATATTTTTGTTTTATTTTGTTTTTGTCTTATGTTGATATAATACTCATAAGTATTAGTATTAGGAAATCTTTAGAATAATCATTATCCTCTTAACCTTTATAAATAATTCAATCCTTGCTCTCAAAACTTATTATAAGCTATATTCATGATAAAACCTATCTTTCAGAATATAATTTGTAATAATAAGCTATTTTTCTTAATATATAAATAAAAACAGGATTATTTATTGAATTATAATGTAATATTTTTATAGAAAATACTGAAAATATAGAAGAAATTATAAAAAAATAAATTATATTACTTATTTGACAAAATTCAAACTATTTAGAATAATATATAAAAAGTTTAATAAAAAATAAAAAATAATATAATTAGAAATTTTAATATATATTAATATTTAATATTAATAAAAAAGTATTAATTTATAATATGATTTAATATATATTAAAAAAAAGATAAGTTTAAAATCCAATAAAATAATACTAATATTATATTTATAATATGTATAGTAATAATATTTATAAATTATAAAATTAATATAATTAAGTAATAAAGAAATTCTTTGATAATATATAGCTTAAATAATATTATAAAAAATAAAATTCTCTAAAATATATATTAACATCTTAATTATATGATAATTAGTATAATATATTAATAAATATTAATTAATAATTATATAAAATAGATATTATTTAAATATTTTCACTTTATTTTCTAAAGAAAGTTAGAAAAATAATATAATAAATCATAATATTTGACAAAATAAAGAAATTATAATTTTTATCTTGTAGCTTATTTATCTATTATGAAAATATAGTTTTAATAATATTATTAATCTTATAAAATACTAACTGACTCTTATTGAAAAAGAATAAATACAAATTATTGATCTTGATTTATTAATAAATAATATAACTCTGATTAAATTAAAACCAGAAGTAATAATCTATAATAAAATAATCAAGATTGATATTATTAATGCTAAGCTAATGATATCTTGATTCAAGAATATTCTAAATTTACACTTTTATGAAAGGATAAGATCAAATTGATCATTATATATCTTGCTTGATCTAATAGAATGAATATTTTTCAGCTATAATAATACTGTTATCTTGATGAATTAATTTATAATATGCCATTATATATAATTAATGACTTTACATACTCAAATAGGAATCAAATAGTGAAATAATATTGTTACAATTAATAATTACTTGTAAATTAGAAAGTATACTTTCCAACTATTTCAATATATTAGTCTGGATAAGATTGATGAGCAATTATTCTTAATATCTGATAGTATATCCTGGCTCTGACCAGATAAAATAAAGAAACTTATTCAGTGGCTGTAATGATTTTGACAGAGCTCAATCTTGAAGAAGGGGCAAATATTATAATTGTTTTATTAAAATTAGTAATTCTGAAAATCATGAAGAGAATCGCCTAATTGCCAAATATTTCCCAACATTGCAGACTTTCTGGCTCCCTATTCTTCAGCATTATTCAGCATCACGTTCATAACTGCACCTGCATCCCTTAATCGCAGCATTCTTCAGCACATGAGACCATATTGTGCCCCTATTTTTACACATTTCTAGTATATGTTGTCAATACTATAGGTCATGACAATTTTTCTCCTTATTTTTTCATATTCTTCAGCACATGTTGTCAATAATATATATATATATCGTGACGACTTCCTCAGCATTCCTCAGCATAATCATTCACATTCTTCAGTATAATAGACCACACCACTCTTTCTTTAGTCATTCTTTACCGCTGCTCAACCTCTTAATGTAATAAAGAAATTAGATAGAATTAGTATAGTATTTTTTTTAAAGATAACAAAATGTATAAAATGAATGGCTCTCGAGCCTTTTAAAAAAGAAATAGAAATAAAATTGCGTACAAAAACCCTTTTCTCCAAGAGAGAATACTTGTAAAAATCGCTCCATAGAATCGTAATTCTAACGTGTTGGTTATCTTTCTACCAGAAAAGACGACGAATCGGTTAGGTCCTTTAGTTCAGAAAAGGCGAAATGCATCATTGATTGAATGATTTTATTTATCCGAGTTTAAGGCTTTTATCTAGAAAAAGCGCAGGAATAAAAAGAATAGAATAGTTAATAATTAATAAACGAAAATCCTCCCCATAATCACCTACTCACTCACTTCAGAAACGCCCACATTGAACAATATTCGTAGATAATGGCACAGGATTTAGACCAACAGGTAAAATTAGTCTAATCGCCCTCTCCCACCCACCGTCACGGTGCACAAATTTCATGTAATTTCAACCCACCTGTGACAGCACTACGGCATGGTCAGGTCCGATTCAGACCATGTGAAATTGATTTAAAATTAAAAATTTCTTTTTTCTTACCGTTACGTACCAGTTTCTCTTCCTCTTGAAAATGTCTCGTGCACGAACTTCAGACGCTATTTGGTGGGCAAGGATTTTGAATAGGTTTGACGAATTTTAACAAAATTACCAAAAAAGCTGTTAGCAGAAAGCAGGTGTGCTGTGTATGAATGTATTACTTTATCACTTAGGTACCAGCTAATGTAGACTTTGTATGGAATGCAGTTTGCCTTTGCAAATTGGCTCGAAAATAACGATCAAAGATTATAACACTTTTCTTAACAATCACGGGTCATCTGGATACAAGTTCCAATTCGAGTTAAACAATGACAATAAAACTGGTAGCGTATATATAATTGATGTGGCCTCACCGGTACATGAGAGTGTTGTTACCCGGCTTCAAGTTTATTTTAAGGTTCCCAACGGCGGAGTTGCTGACGATCCTCCCATAGTAGTCTTTGGACAGCCTCGTAAGAGGATCCATTCTAGTTTGCTTCTTGCTATTGAATTTTCAATAATCTTCTAGTCTTTTTATATAGTACACTATGAGCCTAATGGAAGTGGAGTTCAAATAGCGCCTAATGCTGTATACTCAAATAAAGCAATTGTTCCAAGACTTTCCGCTTCCACCGTTATACCTCATCCTTCTAGTGATATAAATGTATGTTAAGTTTGATGTGTATTATTGTATTCGTTTATATGTGATCTTCATTATTATGGTTTATATAGGGAAATCCTCATGCACGGATAGCTGTGGGCCAAAGTGTTGGTCGTTTGGGACGAAAGTGCTTGACTTGGATGCAAGAACAATACATTCTTGCTGTCGTCAGTATCAAGATTTTAGATCCAAGACGAAGTATTCGAGAACCTGGAACTGGATATTTCTATAGAACAATGACGGTATATCTTACTTCCTATTGATACCAAGCTAAACATTTCATATTTTCATATCTAATTAGTCTGTTAGGCAAAACTTTACCGTCAAGGAATGGCCATAGAACGGTGGGATTTTGGGAATGCTAAAAAATATTTAAGAGATCCTGTCAATGATCCTGCTGGTTGCAATGCGCCAAACTTGCCAGATTTTCAGATCACTATTCCTATAAATGAAGTATTTTGTGACCCACCATTTCCTATTCCACCTGCATATATTCCAGTAATCCCGGCAAACATAACTGGTAACAATTTTATTATTGACTTGTACCGGATCCAGCGAATCGCTTTAGACGCTAATATGTGAATAAGTTAAACAGCTGTGATAGACTGAAATTTCATGTGGTTTACGCTTATTAATAAGTAAAGTTTACTCCCGCATTCAATCTTATTGCTTAAATAGGATTGGTTCCTTTTTATTTCCAAATATAATATTAAAAAAATTTTTTTATGCTTTATGATAATATTAAAAAAGTTACAGAATTATTTTATTAATACAATAATGGTATGAGAAAACATGCAAAATAAATATGGATAAAAAAAATCAAAAATCCACAACTTCAAATATATATTCTTTATGGAGTTCTTTTTTTTCTCGAATTCAGAAATTTGAGTGGTATCGGAAGATAATTCATTTTAATACCGCTTCCTTAACCTGTTTCTTAGCTTTTTTGTCTGAGAAATCTTTGGTTAATTTATCCGTAGCTTCATTGGCCCACTTTTTACTAGTAGAATCAGATGATTCTTTGACTCAGCCTTCAGCCGGCCCATGCTGATGCTCTGTTTCTTCATTTTTATCCAGATCCATTGCTTGACCCTGAGATGTTGTTCCGGAAAAATTAATCTCAATATTACAGGTAAATTCGTTAACTAGAGTCGAAGTCCCACTTGTTTGAGAAGATGCAGAATCTCGTCTGGAACCCTCATCAACAACATCAACGCTTTTGCCACAGCCGGAAAAAAGGCATATACTTGGTACTGTATGCATAATTTTTTTCTCGATATAAACTCTGTGAAATATATGTCCACATTCGAGTATTGTAAACCAACTACTAAGATATCCTTTGTACAGATTGAGCATTTCGGGATTTCTGGGATTTCGATTTCTTGAATTATAGTATCTCCTGTGATTTTGTGGATATTGTATGCAAGGGCTTTGAGGTTAGAAAAAGCCATAACGATGAAAGACATGACCAGATAAGTAGTTTCATACCCGTTTTTATACACCTTGATACATTCGTGCTGTGATTGTGAAACAACGCATTGAATAATATTATGAACTTTTTCGATTAATAGAATTATTATTCTTTTAGACAACGATCCAAAATGAAAATACACTGATAATTACGGATTAAAATTAATTATCTGAATGACCATTTAGATCAGATTGCTTTATTGCTAAAAAAAATAAATTACACTTTAAAATAGATCATAATTCTACTATAAACTTATAAAGAACTAATATAGTTTTATATTTTGTTTATAAATTATAATTATTAATATTTATTTATTATAAAAATATAGTTTTATTTTTAAATAAACTTTAAAATAGATTATAATTCTATAGAAATTAACTATAAACTTATATAAAGAATTTATGATAAAATAATTATTAAAGTGTTAAAGAAATTTCTTAAAAAACTAATATTTCTCTTTATTCTTGTAACCATTATATTATTTAACTTTAAAAAAATAGTTAGTTTTATGATCTATATTTTGCTTATTATTTATCTATTATAATATTATCTTACTGCTTAAATAAAGAATTTATATTTACTTATACTTGATTTTATCAAGTTTAGTACTTGTAATAATATATTAAAGTATAATAAGAAATAAAGATTATTTATATTATTAAAGTAATTACAAAATTAATTAAAAACAATATAAATTAAAAAGTTAAATCTTTCATATTGAAAATTAATAGCAATTACATGTAATTATAAATGAATGATATACTCTAAATATAACAAAGACTGATTAGCTGGATAATATTATTAAAGTGATTATTATTATTATTATATTACATTAATCATTATCCACAATAAATTGATTAGCAACTTAAATATTGTCTTTTGATATCAATGAAGTTCAATAAAAATTATATTACACGCCGGGCGGTTTAGAAATTATTTCGGCTCATTTTTCTACCCAACCTAAAAGTAAATTTTCGCTTAGTTGATGAAACAAAATTTTTGGCTTTGTTATTCTTTTTTAACTAATGGAGAATTTAAAAGATAAGTTGAACAGAAAAGGAGTTTACCTTCTAAGAGTGAAATGTTGCGTGCATTTACATAGGAAAAATTTTTTATTTTGCTTTATTTGTGTGACTTAGAAAGAATAATGCCTGTACATGTATAACGATAACATTCTGCAGAAAGTTTTCCATATATAATCGGTGTACGAATATCCATTTACATCATACAAACACAATATTTTTTCTCCGCTAATAGAATAATGAGCAATATTCCCAAACAAGCTGGGTTTAAAATATTTGAACCATTAATAAAAGACGTTCGAAAATACGCGGATAAAATTGGAGAATGTTACGAACATGCCGAACATAATAGAAGAATTTGCAGTGTATTACTTAAACGTGCTAATAGCGCTGCAGTCGAAGTGAAATCTTTACGTCAACTAAAAAATGAGTACACTTGGTTTTTTGAAAATAGTGTTAATTATCCGATTTTTCGAGGATTCGTTAAAGTGATTGAAAACATCCAAAACTTTGTCATTGATATTTCGCAGTTGCAAGGTCTTATTAAATACTATAATGAATACCGAGGCCCCGGATTTTCGATTGATAGAAAATTTTATAGTCTTATTAGCGAATTTGAAAAGGCAACAGAAGAACTTACTATTGCGTTACAAAATCGCCTCGTTTTTGTTAAACCGAAAGGTCAAAAATTTGAAGACAAAGAAGCTATAGAACGGGATATGCGTGATATGGAAAAAGTAATATAACTTTATTATAATCAATAATCTCACTAAATAATTAATATTAATATCTTTATTTATGCGAATGCTTGATTAGTATATTGAAACTATCGAGGGTGGTATTACAGATGGACGAAGGATTTTAGAAGGAGTAGGAACTGTCGCTACTTTAAATAAAACCTTTCAGAGAAAAGAAAATATTGTTCTTTTAGATGAAGTACTCGAAAACGCAGTTCTCAATATCAATAACTTTCATCCTACTGGAGTAAATGAGAACAAAATGCAACAATATATATATATACCGGAGAATCGCCTAGTCACATTCAAAGAAGTTGAAGTTGATCAAGAGACTAAAAATAATCTTAAAAAAGAGGTCGCAATCCTTAAAAAATTAAATGGAGCGGAGAATATAATTGTGTTTTACGGCGTTATACTTGATCAGAAAAAAATTTTTCTGGTAACCGAATGGGCTACCGAATCAAATTTGAAAATATTTTACCACAATCGTGGATTGGATTGGAGCTTACAAATGCAATTCGCTTTAGATATCTCTAGAGGATTAAATTATTTAAAAAGTGCTGAAATTCTTCATCACGATATTCGCAGTCAAAATATCCTTATTACAACGGGCCATTCGGTGCAATACACAGCAAAAATCGGAAATTTCGCTTTAAGTCGTGGTTTAGGCGATGCTACCAGAAATATTCATGAGAATGTTGATAATGTTCGATACATGGCGCCAGAGAAGCTTAACGATAATAAATATCGATATGATTTTAAGTGTGAAACATATAGGTAAAAATTTCACTATCAGTAATAGTTTATAAGCTTTTTTTTCTTATTGAATTTGGTTTATAGTTTTGGGATGCTTCTTTGGGAAATAGCTGAACAAAGGATCCCATTTCAACATATTGAAAAGGATATTATAAGCATTCGTCAGATGATTCTTGAAGATAAGCAAGAACCATTTTCTTCGCCATTACGAGTTCCAATGGAATGGGTAGAGATAGTCAATAAAGGTAACTTTGATTATTGATATTTATTAATAATTAAGTCTAACACATTATTTCTTAATTTTAATCAGCTACAAGCTTTTACTCCACAGATCGTCCAACACTTACATATATATTCACAGAACTATTTGATCTTTCTAGAAAAAATATTCAACAACCTGCTTCTCGTATGATGCCAAACCCAAGGCCATTATTTGCCGTTCAAACTATTCAAGATGCTATCAATATGCATAAGAAAGGTGATCATAAAACAGCATATCAAATATTTTACTACTATGCGGATTTAGGCGATTCCACTGCAAAATATTGGGTTGGATACTACTTATATTATGATTGCTTAAAAAATCAAAAAACTATTGAACAACGTCAAAAGGCAATAGAGCAAGCTGAACGATATTTTAAAGAAACCGCTGACATGGATTTACCTGAGGCTCAACTTTGTTATGGTTATTGTCTATGGGAAAAAGATGGAAGAGAGGCTGTGATCTATTTCGAGAGATCCGCAGATAATGGAAACTCGACTGCTATGTATAATGTTGGAAAAATGTATTACAATGGAAATGGAGTAATTCAAAATATGGAAAAAGGCGTATATTATTTGAGGTTGGCAGCACTAAAAGGTCAACCGGAAGCTATCGACATGTGCAAAAAATATCAAATTCCACTTTAAATTTATCTGAATTTTTATTAATTATTTTTGACACATATTGAAAATATAGATTTCTCGATGTATTTTTGATGTAACGAACCATTTTATATAATTTTAAATTTTATTTATATATATTAAAGAGTTTTTTTTAGCAAAACTACCACCACTAATTTTAAGAAATTAAATGACGAACAAAAGTAACGAAAATCTTTTTGTGGCATGTTCAAGTTTTGGTATATCATTACCTTAGCTCTCCTTTTCATGTCCCCATTTGAAGAATAACCATATATTAAAACTGAGATCCAGACTTTATTAAAACCATACCAAATGAATATAGCATACTGCGTCACAAAAATTTTTCAAAGAGACCTTATATGAAGAACCACAAAGTAAATACCGGAAATAAGCAACCAAAAAGTCCGGGGGGTTTACTGAGCCAAAGAATGGGGGGTTGCTTATATTTATTGAAGTATAAAATGATTTGTGTGTTTACTACATTTAAACACTCCCATTTCAAGGTCTATTATATAATGAAGCACTTGAGAAAATATGAAAGAGTATGAAAGCACTTAAAAATACACACTAAAGATTTGACTTTTTGATTAATAATGAAAAATCTGTTTATGTTTATTGAATAATAGATATTATATTGAATTAATAAATTTAAAGGGTTGCTTATATTCGGTATTTATCATTTCATACATTTCATGTTTTGAGAATTTTTGTAAAGATAAATATCGTATCATTTACAAAAATGAATTTATTGTATCGGTATGCCTCATGCACATCTCAGTAGATGCTAAAAATCTGTCCGTGTGGAATGCATCCAATAATAGTCTTGCATTTAGTAATAATGATGCTTGTTTTATTAGAATTCTCAATTCAAATTTCTATTTATCGTATATTTTCTAAATTTTCGATTGACTTACATAGATTATACATTGCTTAACATTATCATTACAAATAATTAATCATTCGGTAGAGAATTACGTATATGCGAATTACCCCGCTGCTCAGCATCCCATCGAAGATCTCGCGAATTATAAAATAACACGGAAAATCCGGCTATGAGCACAATAATTCCCTCGAACCAGAGGCTTTTAGTCATTTTTGCGTTTTCGTTTTCGTTTGAGGCACGCAAATAGTCCATCACTATTGTAGCTATTACGCCCATGAAGCCGCTTCCGGTGTATAGTAATGCGGCCGATGTGTTAGCTGATATGGGGTATGAACCTGATTCAAATATATTTGTAAGCTCAAATTCATAATAAAAATTTGAATTATAAAATACATACATTCAACAGCCAATTCCAGAAATATTGGGATCAAACTTAGCTGAAGAAATCCGATAATTGCACAAACAGATTCGATGAAATACAAATTATCTTCTCTAACTAATAAAAAATCGATAATTAACCTCCACCAAGATCGGTCGGTGTTGTTTGATATAATTATGTTGACTTAAGGACCTACCTATAAATACAAGTGAGAAAAACAAGAGTCCTATAATTGGCGCACAAATTTTAAGAACGAATCGATGCACATGATATTTGTCAACGAGAAGACTCAATGAGATGGCGCCTGCTATTCCTGATATGATCATTATTGTTCCGATTTTACCTAATAAATTAATTTAATATTTAATTTATCTTTTTATATGTATAAAGTATGTAACAAAATACCTGCTTCAATCTCACTATACCCATATGATACGAATATGACACTCAATAATCCTAATAACGCGCTACGAAAACCATTTATCGTGGCAAATGAACCCAGTAATATCCAAAAATTTTTATTATTTACTAGTTTTTTGATACCGGGAAGCATTTTTTCGGATGGTGTAACTGCAGAGTATGTTGGTGGTGTTCGTGGTCTTTCTTTCATAAGTAACGTTGGTAATACCAAGATTGATGCAAACACCGCAGTTGCTAGTAGCTGAAAAATATCTAATTGAGTAAATTCTATATCGATATTTGTTTCAATTCATTAAAGTACGTACTACGTAAGGGACCCTTGTTGTGTCATCACCAATCTGCGGAATAATAAAATAACTTAGTGCACCAGCAACAGGATTTGCTATGATGAACAGATGGGAGCAAGAATCAAATTTAAATATTAATGTACGAAGATGATTTTTATAATAAAGAACTATTCTATTCTTTGAGAACTGAGGGTCGTTAGAGTAATTTCATCCTGTATAAAAAGGTCATTTTTTGTCTCACTCACCTATCGAGGCAATCATTGTTGCGGTTGTTCGCTCTTTTTCACCAAACCACATCATCACATACTTTATGAAATAATATTTAGTTATATATCATTGAAACACGATAGATAATCTTAATAGTAAATAAATACCTTTGTTGGCGTTATTTGAACAAATGGATTGGCTATTGCAGAGATTGACTGTAAAAATTAAAATAGTTCGATCAAACTTTATCGTTATCGTTTGACATTAAAAGATCAAATTTTAAGGAAAAGATATTAACCTGTCCTATTAAAACCAATAAGAATTTGGTCTGACGAGCTGTCTGACAAATGGAGAAGTAACGAATAATTGCTCCGAATGCATTTAACGTTGCCGCAATTAAAAGCTATTAATCGAAACATGTTAATTTTTAAACGAATAAGAAAATCTTTTTTTTTTACTTACACCAAATTTGACACCATATTTATCTAGAATTGCATTTGAAAATGGTGGCATCACCAAATAAACTAGCATATATTCCATTGGCAACATGTTAATCGCAGTCAATGAAACATCAAAATAACTAGCAGATGTGTTGGCAATCGGTGCAAAACTAAAGCAGCAAAATATTATTGACATATTCAACAATGCTATCATTGCCAGTCCGTACCATCGTTCAGGGTATAGTCGATAAATTGGTTTAGTAAATGTTGATGATGGAAAACTATCGTAAATTTTCGGTTGTTCATAGTTGCGAATCAATTGAGTCGTTTCAGATGCCATTTTGATTGCGTATATTAGCTTTTTTTTTCGTTTGATAATTCTATTACTATATTTCTTTTACTTTACTTACGGACTGTTGACTGTTCAGTTCCACATCATATCTTTGAAATGCATGTATCATATTTATATGAATATCCGCTTATTCAATAATAGAACTCTAAAGACCTCGATAATTTTTATTTCATTGGTGAACAACCATTTCGTGCAGCTGTTCTATGTGATACATATGTAAAATAATTTACTTTGCTTCAATTCTAGAAAGTTGTAGAAAACAAGATATCATTCTAGAGTATCATGAGACATTACACACAATGATATATGAAATTCACAAAATGCACATGTACGTTACAAAATTTGAATCATGTAAATCTATATCATTTTTAGAAAAAAAAGAATGAGACAAATTTATAGGATCACGTAAAAAAAGTAAGAAAAAGGAATAAATAAATTAGTTTTTCATATTAACGTTAAATCCGATATTCAAAAATGAAACATCAAAGAACCAGTTCAATAACAGTTTACGCGCGACTCAAAGATTATCCTGAAGTATTTCATGTTGATAATGGTTTGCTTCTTTGTAACTATTGCAATCTTTTGGTAGAATAGGAACATAAATTAACAATAGATGCACATTGCGCAAGTAAAAAACATATATTAAAAAAAATTCCGCAACAAATGAACAGATTAAAAATCAACAAACATTACATCAAAAAAAGAATAAAATTTAATCGAAGCATTTGAATTAGACGTATATTGGAATAATTTAGCAAATCATTTACCGATTCTTTCACAAATCACATCTGATTATATTTGGTTGCCTATATCTAGTTGCACCGTTGAACGTAGCTTCTCTTTATGTAATTCACTTTTTAGATAATGACCATCAAAATTTAGCGAAAGAATTACTTAAGCAACTTAAGATGTACTATAATCGAGATAGCGGAAATTTTTTTAATAATCATAGTAAATGAAATATATATACATGTTGATTAATAAAAAGAATAGCCATAGCGAAAAAAAGTTCGGATCATGTGATTTAAAAATCCAAAACAAAATACATGTATAAACAAACGTAAAAACTGAAAAAATAGCTTGGATCTCGAAATTTCGTCTAATAATATCCATTCGAAATCATTAGACTGCGAATTCGGCAAGAAAAACTTATCTTTATGACATGTCGTTGACTATTAATATATGATTAAGATGGTTCTAATGATATTAATATTCAAGTCATTTGCGAAAATCAGAATGGATATAAATTTTTATGGATAAAAATTCAGCAAATAATATCGTTCTTTAAGAACAAATTTGTCAAAGTATTTGATTTCGTTTTTAATAAAAGCAAAAGAACAAAAATTCAATAAATATTTTTTTAATGAATTCCTCAATGAAAAGATAAATTGAACATTCTTTCCATACATGTACATGTACATGTATTTTATGATTTCCAATCCTGTCTTATAGCGCGTTGTGTTTGCATGCACTACAGATCGATATGGCGTAGAGAGAGCTTACGTATTTAGCAAGACTAAAATTTTCGTTTCAATTGGAATAACAATAATTATAATACAACGATGATTCAGAGTACCATACCAATATAACAATAGTACCACCATTCACATTAACGTTAAATAAATTATGTGCATGTATATTATTTATGCATCTTTATCTCCAATCTAAAATTTGTGCGAGTTAAATTAATTCTTTAGATTAGCTATCAATTTAAATGAATTCATTTTTAAAATCTCACTTTCCGCGTATAATTGATTGTTATTACCATTATATGTATTTATTGAATTGTTTAATTTTTTAGCGTGGTGATTATGGTTTTTTAAACTTTCCGAGAGAATAAGATGCATTACAATCACAGATTGTACATACATGTATTAAAATAACATAATGACCAATTAAAATTTAAAATAAACATAACGATAATACATGTACACGTTATATTCTGCCCTTGTTTTGTGGAATTCCCGGAGAAAATGCACTCACAAATTTAATGCATTGACATTATGCTTCTATTGTATCGGTATGACAATGTGGGAAGACTTTAATGTAGTACATGTAACAAATAAGCTCGGATAGTAAAACAACATTATAACCGTATGTATGGTTTCAATTCTCGAAGTTCATGCATATTTTAATATTTGAAATTGGATTTGTGTCTCAACGTTGACGCCATGTATTTTCGCTATTTAAGGTATCCTCTAGTTTGAAATGAATTTTTCAACTTTTTGCCCTAGTAGACTTCCGATCAATAATTTCCTCATCCTCTTTAAACTTTCCTTTTCAACCATTCCTTTATTTCCCCCACACTCTCCTTAAAATTTACTTCTTTAATTAAAAAATGTTCGCGAAAACTTTTTTACTCTCATCAATGCTGTTGGCCACAGCTACAAACTTAGTTTCGGCCTCTTATTCCATTAGTTCTCCTGGAACTGGCGTTGTCTGGAAAGCTGGCGACAAAGTTCAAATCAAATGGACTGCAAGTGGTCAAGTTGAAACCCGAATTGATATTCGTCTCGTTCATGGAGACGCCGCTAATTTAGTATACGACTTCAATTTATGTTCCAACGTGAATCCTTGGGATGGTCAATGTAGCTATGTCGTTGACTCCAATATTGCTTCGGGAATTGATTATGCAGTGACTGCTGGAAAGTCACCGGAAAATTTCGGATATTCGAGCTATTGTAAGAATTTTTCTTCTATTGAAACTTGACAAAATTTATCAGGTAGTAATTTGATCTTCGTTTTTTATAGTTACAATTCAAGCTCGTGGGCCGCTTCCCGAAAATAAAGGTTGCCCAAACATGGTAAAATTCGGAAATCTATTTTTTGCTAATTCTGACAATGATGGTCATTATTTAAAGTAATTGAATCGTATTTTTAGGGTGGCAAACTTTGTCCTAAATCTTTGCCTTGCTGTAGTTCCTCCGGATATTGCGGAGATTCGGCAGCTCATTGTGGTGCGGGCTGTATTCCTAAATATAGTTTCAATGGCCAATGTGTAATTCCTGGCGCTCAGGGAACAATAAATACACCAGTCACAAATGTCAAGACAAAGACATCTCCCGTCGTACCGCCACGTGCACCTAAATGTGGCACCAAAGTTTGCACGAAATCTCTTCCTTGCTGTAGTGCTTCTAAAAAATGCGGTATGCATATATACTATTTTGTTCACCACCTACTAAAATGCTGAAAATAATTCATTTATTTAAACTTATTCAGGTAAATCCTGCGGCAAAGGATGTGATCCAACGTTAAGTTTTGCTGGAAAATGCGTTCGTCCATTACGGAAAATCAAATAGGTTGTATAGTTAAGAACGATAATTCACAAGACAATGTATAAAATTTGGTAAAATCAAAATAAGATGTACATGTATTACTAATACTGTGCTGTATTCTAGATAATAACGATAATAGTATTTAATGAGAGTTAACGTTAAAAATTAAGACTATCTTCAAATTACATTGCATTTTTGTGTCATATAAACGTAAAAGACTATATATCTAATTTATAAATCAGCCAATACATTAATATGTACAATAATTTTAAGGCCAAAAAGTATTTAAAATGAATGTGAATTGCAATAAAATGTGTGATAATTTAAAGTGAAATCCGACATCTTTTGCACATGTCGATAGCTTTCGGTTGACCTTTTAATGCCGCCAGCCTCAAATAGTATGCACCTTTTTCTATATTTTGAATTACTCCATTTCCATTGTAATACATGTTTCCAACATTATACATAGCAGTCGAGTTTCCATTATCTGCGGATTTCTCGAAATATGCCACAGCTTCTATTACATTTTTTTCAACACCTTCCCCTTTCCAAAGACAATGACCATAACGAAGTTGAGCCTCTGGTAAATCCATATCAGCGGTTTCTTTGAAAAATCTTGCAGCTCGGATTATTGCAACTCTATGTTGTTCGCTAGTTCGTTGTTCATTTAAGCAATTATAATATAAGTAGTATCCGACCCAATATTTTGCAGTGGAATCGCCTAAATCTGCATATTTGCAAAATATTTGATATGCTGATTTACGATCACCGTTCCTCGATTTATGTATAGTGATAGCATCTTGAACAATTTGGACAGAAGATAGAATTGGTGTTGGAATCGGAAGATTAACAGATTGTCGTTGAGTAGCTGGCAGATTTTTTTTAGAAAGATCAAAAAGTTCTGTAAATATATCTTTAAGAGTTGGACGATCCGAAGGCTCATAACTCGTAGCTAATCAATAATTAAATTAAAAAAATATGTCAGACTTTAATATTAATAAATGATACTAATAATCTCAAATTACCGCTAGTAACAATTTCTACCCATTCAACTGGAACTCGTAATGGATTAGAAGAAAATTGTTCTCGTCTATTTTCAAGAACCATCTGACGAATTCCTACAATATCATTTTCAATCTTCTGAAATGGTATCCTTTGTTCAGCTATTTCCCAAAGCAGAACTCCAAAACTATAAAATAAATTAATGAGAAAAAGGTTTATATACTATTTTGATAGTTATTTGTGGAATGTTTTTCCTATATATTTCACACTTAAAATCATATGGATGTTTATTATTTTTAAGCTTCTCTGGCGCCATGTATCGAACATTATCAACACCCTCACGAATATTTGTGGTGGCATCTCTTAAACCACGACTTGAAGCGAAATTTCCGATTTTTGCTGTGTATGGCACCGAATGGCCCGTTGTAATAAGGATATTTTGACTGCGAATATCGTGATGAAAAATTTCAGCACTTTTTAAATAATTTAATCCTCTAGAGATATCTAAAGCGAATTGCAATTGTAAGTTCCAATCCAATCTATGAATGTGGTAAAATGCTTTCAAATTTAATTCGGTAGTCCATTCGGTTACCAGAAAAATCTTTTTCGGATCAAGTATAACGCCATAAAACACAATTATATTCTCCGCTTCATTTAATTTTTTAAGGATTGCGACCTCTTTTTTAAGATTATTTTTAGTCTCTTGATCAACATCAACTTCTTTGAATGCGACTAGGTGATTCTCCGGCATATATATATATTGTTGCACTCTGTTATCTTTTACTCCAGTATGATGAAAGTGACTGATGTTGAGAACTGCATTTTCGAGTACTTCATCAAAAAGAACAATATTTTCTTTTCTCTGAAAGGTTTTATTTAAAGTAGCGACAGTTCCTACTCCTTCTAAAATTCTTCGTCCATTTGCAATATCACCAGCGATGGTTTCAATATACTAATCTAGCATTCGCATAAATAAAGATATTAATATTAATTATTTAGTGAGATTATTGATTATAATAAAGTTATATTACTTTTTGTATATCACGCATATCCAGGTTTATAGCTTCGTTGTCTTCAACGTTTTGACCTTTCGGTTTAACAAAAACGAAGCGATTTTGTAACGCAATAATAAGTTCTTCTGTTGACTTTTCAAATTCGACAATAAGGCTATCAAATTTTCTATCCATCGAAAATTCGGGGGTTCTATATTCATTAAAGTATTTCATAACACCTTGTAGCTGCGAAACATTGTTGACAAAATTTTGGATTTTTTCTATCACTTTAACGAATCCTTGGAAAATCGGATAATTACTACTATTTTCAAAAAACCAATTGTAATCTTTTTTTAGCTGACGTAAAGATTTCACTTCGACTGCAGCGCTATTAGCACGTTTAAGTAATACACTGCAAACTCTTCTATTATGTTCGGCCTTTTCGTAACTATCTCCAATTTTATCCGCGTATTTTTGGACTTCTTTTATCAATGGTGAAAATATTGTAAAATCCGTTCGTATGATGGGTACCTCAACACCCTCCATTGGAACATCAGTGTTGTTTAATTCTGATGACCACTCGAATTCATTAAGTTGTTGATTTACCTCATGGTGTTGGTTGGATGGCCCAATGCCCACCATGGAAACATCTTCGTTATTTGATTCTGATGGCCACTCGAGTTCATTAAGTCGTTGATTTACTTCATAAATATCAGGTCGATTATCCGGCACATTATCCCAGCATTGTTTATATAGCTCAACATACTTGCTAGGAGTTCCTGGAATTGTACATTCTTTTTCTTCTATATTAAAAAATACATACCCAAATTGATTGGATGGAACGCGACCACTAGATATGACCAAAAAAGAATTCCTAGGCTAAAGATATCTGATTTTTTGTTACGTATATATTTATTTGTATCTTTTAAAAATGCGGGATCAACATAACTTAATATTCCGCGCTCTGACATTGAATTTGAATTTGCGTTCGCAAGTTTCGAATAGCCTAAATCTGCAATTTTAATTCTTCCTTTGTGGATGAGGATATTATTATGATTCTTACGTACAAAATTCTTGTAATTAGTGCAGAATTTTTTAATAAGACAAAATATTATATGTTATGTCTTACCAAATCACGATGAATTATACCAGCATCGTGTATACATTTTAATCCTTGTGCAAGCTGCTTTGCTAAATTCAACTTGTTGTCACCAGTTAACTTAGAAAAATTTTCGCATAAATACTCTTTAAGAGTGCCACCATCAGCATACTTCATTACAATAACGTATTTTTGTTGATATAAGTCTAATATAAAAATTAATTAAAAAATTGCTATTATACATTCAGCTACAACTACGTATCGGTACATATTTACCTTTGGTGATCCCATAAAAACGAATTATATTTTTATTATTTTTGTCATGGTTTAGTTTAATAAGAAATTTCAACTAAAATATTAATAGTTTGAATTCTGTTATTTGTTCGTTACATTTTTCTGAATATGATAAGTACCTCCTTGATAAATTGTTTATGTGTTTTTTCGGCATTTTCTTTTTCATTTAAAAAAAGAGACTTTAAAGCTACAGTCAAATTGTCTTTTTCTACTTTTGCTCTAAAAACTTCGCCAAATCCTCCATTTCCAATGAATTTTCTATCGGTGAATTCCTCAAAATTGAAAAACTTTATTTGCTTTTCTTTTATTGCGGTTTCTATCCAATCATTTCCGTTAAATTGCATTTCGATACGCCCTCGTTGATTTAGTACGTATCTTTATGGAATCAAAGTTACATTCCCCCTTAATATCCGCATGTCCGATTTTTCTGCTAACGTTAATACTGTACATGTAATAACGCCAATAGTGTTACATGCACATGTCGAAACACAAATATCATTACTATTTTTGTGTTTAATTTCTTTAAAAGTTATCGTAATGCATTTAGCAGACATCAAAAGAGTCTGATGTTTCTAAAAAATTTATTCCACCTTCAGATTTATTATAAACATAGTAGACATTAGAAAGACACTCACCACAATGATAATTATAAAATTCGCATAAAAAGTCTATCTATATAAAAGGCAGGTTCTTGGCCTTCAAACAGAGATACTTTTCTAAATCTTTTGTTTCATAAAAATATTATTATCCTCAAAAGCTTGCGTACAAGAGGCTTTTATTTCTTTAGTGCCTAACATAAATTGATAGTGGAAAACCTTCACTCTAAATAACCAATTGTTGCCAGCGCAATGAAAAATCTGTTACATGTATATCGTCCCGTATCACATGAAAAAAACCAAAAATTCTTACCTTGTAACATTACATTGCTGTCGCTTCGTAAAATTCCTACAGAATTCTTACTTGTGATATTAAAGCAACACTGCCTTCCTCAATGACATGAATTCCTTACAAACATTCTTGCTTTGCGTTCCGAGAATGTGATTATCAGTAGAAACTCGTAAACATTTATATCGTACGTTCTTTTAACATTGTGTTATGCGCAATAAATTAAATTTACTCTTTTCAATAATTAAATATTAATTTACTTTATTTTGACAATTAACTCTATTATCCTTTATTTCGAAGCATAGCCATGCCTCTTTGTAAATTCTTACTTGGTATGATCCCTGAATTCTTGTAGTCAACTTACGATCTGTAAAATAGATAGTTACTAATCAAATTTGTATATAAAGGATAGCTCTCATAAGCCTGGACAAAAGTATCCGAACAACCATATTTTCCGAAATCCTGTAACAATCTCCCTTCAGAATTTCCAAGATTCGAGAGTAATATTAATATTGCTAACTTGAACGATTTTTAAGTTTGTACAATATAATGAGAGTTTGATGATAATCCATGAGTTTACTCTTTACCTTCGCTGACAAATGATATGAAATAGTCTTTTTTCATGAACAGACCAAAAGTGGAGTTTGACAAAATAGCAAAACACATTACTGTAGTAAATCCACAGCTTATTGGATCAAAAAATATCATCGTTGGGTAAAACTTACTCATAGTTAGAAGAATTATTACATTTAATAATTTACGTAAATGTACACAGATTACATCTTGAATCTTTTGGAATTAAGATTTACTATGTATCCTTACGTAACCGATAAGATTTTCTCATTCATGATATAAAGATCGGATCATAAATAAAAAGATTAAATCTTATAGTTTGCCAATTATATATTATACCATATATGAAAAGTTGCAATTTATTGTTTTATTCATTTCCGAATATATTCGATCTTTAAAACAAAACATACGATTAATTTCTGTAATGTAATACTTTCGTGAATATAATCATTCTTTTGCGAATAAGTCCGTAACGAATGTTTCAACAAGTGAATTAAAAATTTAAACCACTTAAATGTCAACTCTTTATACATGTATTACTGAAATACATCCAAGATGTTACTGTGCAATTGCACGTCACATAGTTGAATACGAATTAGGTTTATTCTGAAAATAACCAAATTTACCTTGTGAAAATTGTAAATATAGTGCGGATTCGACTGTAGCAGTATCAATATTAAAATTTTTTGATGCATGGTCAAAAGCTTAATGGCTTTTTCTTAAGTTCTAACAAAGATGAGATCACTTCTCTCGCCACGGTTAAATCTTTCTATTTTATGTATGATATTATCGATATTCTGCTTTCTCTTGTTTTGTTATTCTGTATCTATATCATTAAGATGATGGTCAATGAGAAACTGACATTCATTTGCCCATAATGTTTTTATCTATAACGATAATACATTCCTCGTAAGTGATACGAGGAAATTAACAATCATAGCTGAAGAGCGTTATAAATACTTTTACATACATGTACATGTATAACGAGTTGAATCGAATCGACGATTGTTTGATACAGCTCTACATATGCAATATCGTATTGCATCACAATTCTAATTTAATTAAAAGACGATTACTTATCCAAATAAAGAAAAAACATTATGTTGTGAAGTGTTTTGATTTTTCATACTTACAATATGCGTATTTTTTTATCTTCAATGCGACCATGGCACTATATAATTCGTTGATAACAAAATACACTATTCAGTTGAAATAGTAGTTTTTATATATATTAATGTTTTCTTTTAAGAAATTAAACGTGATGAGATTTTATAAATTCGATACTAAATTTTTCTATTTATTCCGTTATTTTGAGTTCCAATTTCGGTCTTTCTATTTGTCACGAAGTAAACGACTTTTAATTGTATGTCTCGATCTATATTTCCATTAGACCTGTAACTTTATAGGTGAAATCAATAATTACATTATTACCATATTGTTCCAAAATTAAACCGACTACAAAATGTATTAATGTATTATTATAACTATCACATAACAACAGTATTTACTTTCAGAACAACACGATGATGATTACGTAATATTTAATCATACTTTCACAATCTGTTTTGCAACGATATTGATATACATGCTCTATTTCCTTATTTAGTTTATCAGTTTGACTATCTATGCTTTTTATGGGCATGTTCAACAAAGACATGTACAACATTAGTCGATCACGATCATAAAAAGACTAAAAAAGTCGCTTTTTTGTGTCAATATATCTTTTGCTTGCTACATGTAATAAATTTCTATCTTAAAAATAAACAACGATAAAAATATAATAATGGCTCAGCCTATGGAGGGTGTTGAACCTGTTGGATCATTCCAACAAACGGATTTTGAAGACTTTTCACCATTGATAACCGAACTTGTAAAATACGCGGATAAAATTGGAGAATCTTTCGATAACGCCGAACTTAACAAAAGAATTTGCAGTGTATTATTTAAACGTGTTAATGATGCTGCGGGCGAAGTGAAAATCTTACGACAACTAAAAGATGATTATAGTTTGTTTTTTAAAAAACGAGAAAATTATCCAAATTTTTATGGATTCGTTAAAACGATTGAAAAAATTAAGACTTTTATCATGGATGTTTCTCAGTTGCAGGGCGCTCATAAATTCTTTGATAAATATCGAAGTTCCGAATTTTCGATGGATAAAATATTTCGTAATCATATTGATGATTTCGAAAAGTACGCAGATGCACTTAACAATGCGTCCGATGGCCGTCTCAATTTTGGAAAATCGAAAGACGATCAAAAAATCAAAGATGAAGAAGCCATAAGCAAGGATATGCAGGATATAGAAAATGTAATATAAACTCTTTATTATAATCAAATAGGCACACTCTAACTATTTGTGCAAATTCTTATTTAGTATATTAGAAAGATCGGTACAGATGGACAGAAGACTTTAGAAGAAGTAATGGCTGTCGCTACTCTAAATAAAGCATTTCAGAGAAAAGAAAATATCCCTCTTTTTGATGAAAAAGAAGCAATTCTTAATATCCAAGATTTTACAGCTGTTCCCGGACCAAAGAGAAAGAAAATGTCACAATATGAAAGATATGATAATGTCAAAGTTGCATTCAAAGAAATTGAAAGAGAGGCAGAGAATCCAGATAAACTTAAAAAAGTGATAAGAGAAGTCGCAATCCTTAAAAAATTAAGAGGAGCAGCGAATATAATCGCGTTTTTCGGAATTGTAATTGAGTCGAATATTGTGCCGAATAAAGTTTATCTGGTAACCGAATGGGCTACCGAATCAACTTTGAAAGATTTCTATCAAGTTCATCATTTGGATTGGAGTCTACAACTGCAATTCGCTTTAGATATCTCTAGAGGATTAATTTATTTACAAACTGCCGAAATTCTACATCACGATATTCGCAGTCAAAATATTTTTATTACAAATGACAATCCGAGGTATACAGCAAAAATTGCCAATTTCAGCTTTAACTCGTAGTTTAAAATCGGGTGCCATATGTGATGCAGATCTCGAAACTGTCCGATACATGGCACCAGAGAAGCTTAAAAATGAGAGACACCCATATGATTTTAAGTGTGAAATATATAGGTGAAAATTCCACCAATAACTATCAACAATAAACTATAGGTTTTTTTTCCTATTAATTTTCATTTTATAGTTTTGGGGTATTACTTTGGGAAATAGTTGAACACAAGCCCCATTTGAGAATAAAAATAATGACGAAGTTAAGGACTTGATTCTTGAAGATAAACGAGAACAATTTTCTTCGCCATTGAAAGTTCCATTTGAATGGACAGATATTGTTAATAAAGGTAATTGAGATTATTAATATCATTTTAATATGTTAATAAAATAATAAAATCTATTTATCCCTTTAATTATTCAGCAACAAGTCTTGAACCTATGAATCGCCTAGCTATTAAAGATATATTTGATCAATTATCTGATCTTTCTAACAGAGATCTTCCATCTATTTTTCAACCAACTACTCTTCCTAGGCCAAAAGAACTAACTATTAAGGATGCCATCCATATTCATCAATCCAGGAGTGGTGATCGTAATAAATTATATCAAATATTTTACAAATATGCGGATTTAGGCAATTTCGTTGCGAAATATTGGGTCGGATATTACTTGTATAATAATACATTAAATGATCAAAATACTGACGAGCAAAAAAATGCGGCAATGGTAAAAGCTGCACGTTGTTTTCAAGAAGCAGCCGAAATGGGTTTGGCTGAGGCTCAACTTCGTTATGGTCATTGTCTCTGTAAAGGCGAAGGGCTTGAAAAAAATGAATTATTAGCCATGGAATATTTTGAAAAATCTGCATATAATGGAAACTCAACCGCCATGTATAATCTTGGATACAGTTATTACAATGGATTGGGAGGAGTTACTCAAGATGCGGAAAAAGGTGCATATTATCTCAGGATGGCAGCATTAAAGTGCCATCCAAAAGCCATTGATACCTGCAAAAAATACAATATTCAATTTTAAATAATGCATGCACACATTTTATTTGGCTCGGATCATTTTATATGCATACAGTAATCTTATGAGTATGCATTTAAATTCATTCTTCTAAATGAAATTTAATCTTGTAAAAGAGATTTTTCTTTTAGAAGTTTACAAAATTTTATAATTACATGTATTTACGCGCATATATTTAATATTTTTTTGCTAAAAAAATGATCGATACATTTCTAATAGGATTTACACTCGCTTTCTTTATCCTGTTATTTTTAACAATTAAAAATTACTATATAACCGGTTAACTGCGGTTAACCGCAGAAAAATTATATGGTTAATCGGTTAAGGATTCCTAACCGGTTAGGATCACTAATTCATTTAAAATTGGTGCGTGTCTTCTTGTTATTTGTTATTGTCGTGTTAAGAATAAAAATCGGTTTGATTTATGAAAATAATGTTATTTCAAGGTACTCTGATAGACTGTAAAGGATTGAAAGCATAATTTAGACCTTTTTTTACTAGCAGAGAAATGATGAATAAAAAATCAGTATTTAAAAACTAACATTAATATCAGATAGTAGTTTCAACTTCGTATGGAACAAACAAACGTGTAGAACCTTAATATTCGAATACCAATTTTAGAAATAGCGAGTACGAATCTATATTCTATTGCAAATGCAAAGTATTCATTCCACTTCCACGTAACTATAGTATCAAAGTTCCTTAGCAGTTGATTGTTTCCCAAAAATAAGATCGCGACATTTTCAATAATAAATTTGCACCATCCGGACTCATATAAAAGGGGAGTACTCCACAAATTCTTTTTATCTACTTTTCAGAAAAATAATAGTTTCGCGTTTAAATCACATGTTGAATCACCTGAATCGTGCGATCTCAATAAAAACCGCACATTTGGAATCCCTATCGTTGCATACATGGATATGCATGCACACATACGGGACCGCATGCCAAAGATTAAACCAAATCACGCATTTTATCCAGTGAGCTCAAAGGAGATCGAATTTTGGATCATTGTAATGAAATTTTACTATTGTCAAATGAATAGATAACAATTTAGTTCACAATACTCATGATTGCAGTAAATGCGGAGTTGTCAAAGAAATTATGACTACGAAGACCGTTTCAGATATCACAAACGAATTTATAACGATGAGCTGTCAAAGATATTGACAATCTACTAAAAAGGATGCAACAAAATTAATTATAAAAATGCAGATATATTCGAATGAATTCTTTTTGAAAGTTTCACCAACGTTGAATATCTTGCGAAAGGAGGATGTGGGTCAATTTGTAAAGCAGCCTGGTTGGATGTACAGTACCATTAACTAAATATTGGGATCATGAAGAAAATAAATGGAAACTAAGAGGTAAAGAAAAGTTGTATTGAATCATTACACAATTCAATTGGACTGAAAAAGATTAATAGATATTTTAAAGGGAATGTCTTAGAAATAAAATATTTTATATTTATTTCAAAAGTAAAGCAAATTACTCGGGATCCATTTTTTTGCGCTTAGCAGATGTATGTTATCAATCATAGCATTTAAGTCTCGTTTGAATCTATTTTTTTGAAAAATTTTGTATTTGAAAAAGTTAACTGGTTTCACTTTTGAAGATGTTTATATATGAACTCTTGATTATTATATAACCATCTATCTTATCTTGATTACTATATAGCCTTCTATCTTACAGGTTGTAAGTCTACAAGAATTTGCGGGTTACTACGTACAAAGTATGAATTTTTGTAAGAGTTTTTACAAAAGGACATGACTTTGCTTCGAATAATAATTGTAATTATAGGAAAAATAAAAGTGTTGATGTTGATACAAAGTAAGAATTTTTCGAAGCGACATCAAAAGTAGGTAGAGTTTCCACTTAATCTTGAGAATCTTGTTGAGTTACCATTGAATGTTGAGTTAATAAATAAACCGATTTTTTTAAAATTCAAACAGCTTACTTCTCAATTTATCAAATAAAATACATGTCATTGATGAACGGGATGTCTATCGCTATCTTTAAAAGTTTTACGTAACGGTAAAACCATACTAAAAATAGCGTTCATATCATTTGCAAGGAGCACTATTAATAATAATTATTCCCAACATGACGTTACTCATGTTGATATAATATTAATACTGTGGGAATAATAGTATATTGATATGGCTGTGGCTGACAAACATAATACATCTACATCAAACATGGGATCTAACCTTATTTGACTATCGCATAATCAACAAATGCGTCACGATAAATGTTCCCACAATTCCCGATTTATTTATTTATAAAGGGTTTCATTCATCTCATCTCATTTTTTTCACTCTTTACTCATTTTTCTTGTCTGTATTCACTTTTACTTGTTTTTTAGCCTTACTCTTGTTCACTCGTTACCCCACTAGTTTTTACTCGCTTATCTGGTTGTTTGTTTTGCCCGCGCTTACTATCTCTCGCCTATACTCACTCTTGCTACTCTTGCTTGTCACTCTCGCTTGTCACTCTCGCTTGTCACTCTCGCTCGCCCACTTGCTTTGCCTTACTCGTCCACTCGGTATTGTTTACTTTGTTAACCAAACTCGAACGTCACCAAAAGTTCCTTCTACATCGTGAAGACTATTGATCTGCTAATCTTTAGCATATGACGCAGCCATGACATGTTTTAGAGTCTTAATTATATAGGTGAGTGGAGTGCACACGCTTGCTAAGTGAATGTATCTTGGTCACGCTCCTTGAAATCTTTTGCGAGAATATCATCGATCTTAATC